AATTAATATGTCTTTTTAAGCTTATTTAGAGATTAGGAGCAGTTTAAGTAGGCTATTATACCTTTTTTAAAAGGCTTTTACTTTACAGTAAGTATAGCAACATAATACATATTAGCGTACAGTATGGAACATGCAGGGCTAGTAGTACTCTCTCTACAGTAGGTTAAAAGTCTTTCCTCTACCTAGGTGTCCTCTAACAGGCAAGTTATGTATAATTTAGAGTAGTTTAATTCTTAGTTTATTAGAATTAAAGATTATAAGTTAGTTATAGTAATACAGCTTACTATTTTAGTTTTTATAGTTAGCTAGTGTTACTTTCTTTAACTAACTAGCGCTGTTTTAGAGCAGGTTTAAGGTTTCTTAAATAAATTTATTATTTAGATACTTATTAGTAATAATTTAATTAATTATCTAATTTATTTTATTTAGGTTAAGGTCTAAAAATAGCTTAAGTTAAAGTAGAGTTTAGTATTAAGCCTTTTACACTTCTTTCTAAGCAGGGACATCTTAGGATTGCCTTATAAGGGCATCTAGTTTCCCTCTGTCTTAACTAGGATAATAAGTAATCTTAAAATTAAAATAAAATAAGTATTTAGACTAATAAGCTTATTAGTAGCTAAGTTATTTTATAGTTATAAAGTACTATAAGTTTTTATAGTTAGATAAGACCTATATTAGATGCGCTGCACTTTTTAGTTTAGGTTGCTATTATTTAAAGTAGTGTACTATAGTAAGCAGTTTCTTATTATAAATTTTATAATTGCCTTCTACAAGACTTATTCTTTTTAAGAAATATGCAATAGGCCTAATAGTCCTGTCTAGCTTAGTCTAGAAGAGAACTCCTGCTACTATGTAGTCTAAGGCATTAGCTTCTATAAGTATTAGTAGTTTAGAGTTAAAGTAGCAAAGTATTAAAGCTTTAGTAAAGGCTTTCTTTAGCTAGTTAAAAGACTATTAGTAATTTAAGTTAAAGTTAAATTAAATCTTTTTCTTAGTAAGTGTAATTATAAGGCTTACTTACTACAAGAAGTTATTAATAAATTATTAGTAAAAGTTAGTAAATTTTATAAAGGCTTAAATATCTTTTATGTCTTTTAGGTATTGCTAATTTAGTATAGTCTAAACTTTAATAGGGTCTATTTAGATGCTATTTATAAAGATTATATATCTTAAATACATAACCTTTAATTAGTAGAACTTACATTTGTCTATGTTAAGTTGCAGACCTACTTCTTCTATAGCCTTTAGCACTAGGCGTACATGCTGTTTGTGCTCTAAAAGGCTATTACTATAAATTAGAATATTATTAATATACATAGTGCAGAACATGTCTAGGTAGAGTTAGAGTAAGTTATTTACAAAATGTTAAAAAGTACTAGGCGCGTTAGCTAAGCTAAAAGGCATTACTAGGTACTTAAATAGTCTATATTAGGTCTAAAACGCTGTTAGCTACTTATCACCCTTTACTATTTTTAGCTTATTAAAGGTAGTAATAATATCTAACTTTATAAAATACTTTACTTTACTTAGTTAGCTTAGAGTTTTCTATAAAAAAGAAATTAAGTATTAGTTTTTAATAGTAATAGTATTTAGTCTTTAGTAGTTAACACAGAATTAAAGCCTACCCCTAGGTTTCTTTATAAATAGTATAAGTAACACTACTAGTAAAGAGCTAGCTTAAATAAACTCTTTTTCTAGGTTCTTATTAAGGTATTTTTAAAGCACTTTTAATTTATTTAGTAACATCTTATATAGTAGCCTATAACTAGGTTGTTTACTAGGCTTAAAGGTTATCTAGTAATTATATAGATGTTATATTAAAAGCTTATTAGACTTGTCTTAGAAAAAAATATGTAATAAGTTATAGTAGTCTTAAAGGACTATTATCTTTAAGTTAGTGTGTTTTTAGGAAGCTAAAGCTTAGTCTATATTAGAAATTATAACTACATAGATTTTGTAATCTAGTTGTTAAGCTAGGGTTATAAATAGAGTAAGTTCTATGTAGCAGATGTCTATCTGCTGTTTAAGTCCTAGTTTATGTTTAAATTAAGTAGGTAAAAGTTTTTTAAAGGCTTTTTTTTCTTTAAGTTTAAGTAGTTATTAAATTATTTTACATAGCTTATCTTAGTAAAAGGCCTAGCTTATTAGCCTTACTTAAGTAGTTTTTTTCTAAGTTATTAGAAAGTAAGTCTAAAAACCTTTTATATTAAGTGCTATTTAAGTGTTATTTAGGTGTAAGCATAAGCATACATCTTAGCATTAAAAAGAGTTAAAGTTTAAAACTTACTCTTAGTAATTAAAGGCAACCTTATGCTAATATAGCTATAGTTGTTTTAGAATTAGGTTATAATGTTCTATGTTTATTACATAGAGCTTAATTTACTTCTTATAGTGTTAGTAAGTAATTATAACAGTTATAGTATAAAAAATAGAACTTTTTTTAAGTTATTTTCTATTAAATCTAGTTAAGTAAATTATTTAGCTAAGTAGTGTTAATTAAAGATTTAGTTTACACGCTAGTTCTTTATTAATGTAACTTATACTATTTACTCTTAAGTTAATAAAAGCCTATATTAAGGCTAATATAGTTCTTTATTATAAACATATAAGAATATTAACTTAGTACTTCTAGTTATTAGTAGGGGACTTAGCCTATAAGTTAGCAAAGATCTAGTGTTAAATTAGTCCTAGGGGGCAACTTAGCCCTAGGACAAGCCTTTTTACAGGCTCCTACTACTATAGCTGCAGCTATGTTAAGAGTAGTAAGAGGGATTAGAGCTTAAATACAAGTTAAAGCCCTTATAAAAATAAAATTAAAATAGTAAGAATCTTTAATAAGTACTAGCAGCGCTACTTGCGTAGACTTAAAAAAGAGGAATAAAGTAGTTTTAAAAGATATAACTATGCTTACTGCACTTAAAGCATTAACTTTTTTTTCTGTAATTTTTACACTTTCTAAAACTAACTAGAGCATAATTTAAATTAATTTTTATTATATTAGGGTCCTTATTTACAACTGCGCTAGTTTAGGGGTGTATTAGGGCTTATATAAGGAGAAACCTTATGTTATTATTATAGGTAGTAATTAGGTTTACATACATATTAAGGTTGTTTAGAAGGGGTTCTTCTACTATAGCACATTACAGTTTAGTTAAGAGAGAGTTATATAAAGCTGTAATTAGACCTATTTTATTTAGGCCTATATTAAATGCAAGTTAGCAGAACTTAGTAAAGTGTAAAGTAAAGCTTTTTTTTTTTATTATAGAGTGTTTAGGTAACTTAAAGCTATTAACTTTTTATTTAGGTCTTTATAAGTTACTTACAGGAATGCTATAAATTAATTTAGGTTAATAATATTCTTATTTATTAGTAAGTTAATTAAAGCTATTATATTATAGTTAAGTTAAAAGTAGGCATATAGTAACTAAAAGTGTTTAGAGGGGAATTAGTCTATGTTTCCTTTAAGTTTGTATTAGAGCTTGTGTAGGAAGGAAGGTAGGTCTTTCTGTTTTCTATTAAACAGTAGGGGATTAGAGAGTTAGTTAGATTTTATTACTAAGTTAAAAGGGTTACAGGTTATAGGCAGTGTTAGGCAGAAGAAAGTTAAGCTATCTCTAGACTTCTAGGTAGGCTTTAAAGCTAGTAAGTTCTTAGTTTCTACTACTATAACAAAAGTTAAGGCAGAAATAGACTACTTAATAACATAAAGCTGTTCTTTAAAGTCTTTTTAAAGAGCTTTAAAGCTTACAACATAGTAGCTTTTTTATAAAGTAAGCGCTTTTTAGAAGGCTTCTTAGCTTACTCTAATAGCTTAGAGTTGTGCAAGTACTAAGCTTATTAGATTAGATTTAGAGGCTATTCTTAGCTAGAGTTTTAACATAACGTAATGTTATAATTATGCACAAGTAAGGTTATAGAGCTTTACAGAGGTCTAGTTTAATTACTATGTAAGGTATTATAGTAGGTATAAGATGTTGTGTAAGGAACAAGAAGGTTTAGGAGGAAATTAGTAATTAAATACTTAGCTTAGAAGTCTAAGCGCTTTAGGTATAAATTAAGCCTGTTTTAGGTTTAGTTAGTGTTAAGGCAGTTTGTGCTTAAGTTCATGTCTGTGTTGTGTTGTGTTCGTGTCAGACGTGCACTGATAATACTCTAGTACGCGTCTGATACGGTTATGTCTGGGATCCGGGGAGGATACCGTGACACCCTCTCTATATGTAGAGCTACTTGCAATACAACTAATATCTACTAGGGATTGCTGCCTGCTGCTGTAATCTACTGTAGTTTGCTGTAATTTGCTATAGTTTGCTGCAAATTGCTGTAGTTTACTGTAATTTGCTGCAATTTATTTAATGCATTTCCTAACGCTGCTAGGAAATCTCTTACTAACACCTCTAGGCATCAGCCTATTAATTCGCGAGCGTTAGCGAGTGAAATCTATAATCAATTCCCTAGGCTAGCTTCTCTGTCGTCGTTCTACGAAAGGAAATGCCTCAACTTAATAAAATTACCGCATTTGGACGTCACCTGACATTAAACTTCGCATAAACTTCGGCATAATGTAGCGCTAAACTAGACTAGGAAGGAGCTAAGCTAGACTAGGGAAACGGTAAGCCTGATAGAGTCGCTGCTGACTAATATGCCTGCAAGAACCTGTTCTCACCAGCTTGCAGCGACATTTCACTACCACACTACATTATTTTAACCTGCTGCTGCTTGATAATTGCTTAGAATAGCATGCAATACTATATAGTTCAGTGCAGCCTTGCAGCCACATCTCGGCGTTGAGCTGCAGGTGTTGCAGAGGGTGCTGCAAGAGATCGCTGAGACTGCGCAGGCTCGACTACTAGTTATACTACCATCAGCTTGCGGCGATAGTTTACTACTGCGCTATATTATTTTAGCGTACCTCTGCTTAATAATTGCTTAGAATAGCATGTAATAATATATAGTTTAGTGCAGCCTTGCAGCGACATCTAGGTGGTGGGGTCAATCTGTACATGAGCTCAGGAGGGGGCATATGGCAAACGAATCGACAAGGGAGCGAGATCCAAACAAAGTGGAACGAGTGTATTGTAAGGTCTGAGGAGCTCAATAGAGCTCTGAGTTGACTATATACTGTACGAGATAGGAGCTATGCCTAATGAGTGAATAGTGCAGTACATGGGTATGATATCGCGTGAGACACGTGCGACATGTACAGCTATTCTAACGCCGCAGGTGGACAGAACCCAGAATCGACACATCACGCCACACAGAGGCGCCTCGCGTTTTTGCAGTTTCGACAAATCCAAGTGGGAAGGGACACTGGGCGAGGGCACTGGAAGGAGTTTGAGCTTCAACATGCAGAGTATGACCAGATAGACAGGACGCCCCAGCAAGACAATGTGCTTTTAGGGTAGATGAATACATGACAAAAATTCACAGCGTTGTTCAAAGAGTATACTTGCTATCCTAAGGCTAGGCTGCGTATTTCAGTAGCCATCCTTTGTCTTTCCCGCGCAAATTTAGAAGTTCTTTCCCTTGTCTGCTTAGTCATGATTGCAGACTCTTGTTTCCTCTTTTGGTTTGCTAAGATATCACCTAGTACAGTTCGTTGCTTCACCACTTCGGCCCGTTCAAAATCAATCACCATCACCCGACCCGTCTCCACACTCCATAACATATTCCGAGGCATAAGGTCTTTATGCAAGATCCCAAGGCTGTGGATTGCTTGCGCTGCGGAATGAGCACTCTTAGTAACATCAGCTATGTTCTCGCTTGTAAGGTGCTTGGAGATAAGCCTTCCTCCAAAGCTAAGGAACATCATGTGAACAAGTTCGCAAATGCCCTCGTAGTAGTAAGGAGTCGCCAGGTCTATGTTGCCCAAATAAACTGGCACATGGATTCCCTGGACTGGACGGAGAAGTTCGTAGACAGTAGCCTCCCGTTCAAGACGATGGACGAAGTCGATAGGAGTACACTTGGCTGCAACGATGTATCCGTGCGATTCAAGACGAACCCGGAATAAGACGCCGCATGCTCCAGGCAGACTCACAGGCTGGCAGTTGGTATCAAGGTCGCTGGAGAGTTGCTGGCGGATACGAGCAAGAAAGTCAGTTTGATCAATCTCGTGGTACCTCTCACCATGAGCTCGCACGTTGGGACACTGCATATCGAGTGGACCACCTTCAACCAATCCACGCAAACAGTTCTGTGTGCAATACTGTCCATCCTGAGCTGCTTGGGGCGCATGACGATCAGACGAGCTGCGAGCCGTGGTTGGGGCAAGCGGCTGAGCTTGGAGGGGACGTCTGCGTTGGCTCGGAGTATCTGGATCGGGGTCCTCGTCACTGGGGCTAGATGGATCCTGTGGCTGCTCGCAGCTAGGAGAGCTGGTCTGGCCTGGCCTCCGTCGCAGCCGGACAGGAGACATGCGCAGAAAATAGCTATGTCGAGGTGGTTGGTACTCTGAGGATGCTACGTCTTCTGGAAGTATGGTATCCAGCAGGTCCTCATACACGACCTCCCAGGTGATCAGCTGATTGGCGGCTTGGACCCTCCACTGCTGGCCCCGCTGGGGCGTCTTCAGCGCCTGAAGAGTGAATGCTAGCATCTGCCCAACAGCTGTCAGGTGCAAGCGATTCACGCTATCCAGATCCGGTGTCCATCCAGTAGTGGCTCCAACGTCACCCTTTGGGACGGATAGGAAGTAGTAGACCGTCCTAGGATCATCGGGCACCCGCAAGAACACGAACGCTTCGCCAGTACACACGCAACCAAACTCTACCCCAATCCTGACCATATAAGAGAATGCCTGCGTAATGACTGCAGCAACGAGGCGGCGAAAGCGATCCTTTGGAGCATCGACCTCACCACATCGTATCACCTCCGCAAGCTCCATATCTTCGAGACCCTCGCATATGTAACTAAGCGGTAGCTTGTGGGGGGCCTTGTATTCCATAATGAAGGCTGGAATCCGATTCTCTTGATTCTGAGTGCTGGTGTTGTAGACGCAGAACTGATCCGCGCGGGGACGGGAGGATCGTGCTGTTTCTGAACGTTGTGCCGCCACCGAGGGCTCTGATGGACCGGGCAGCTCCTTAGCTAACAAGCGTGGTGACCGTCGCCGTCGATTGCTAGACACAGATATTTGCTCTAGGCTGTTCACTAGCAAGTCTGGAGTAAGGGTGTTGGCATGATTCTCAAAACTTATGGACCCGTGCAACCCAAACTTCCGTCGAAGCGCTCGGCTGTTGTACAGTTGTTTAACAATCAAAGACACGGGGTCCTCGACAGTAGACCGCTGAAAGAGGTGTAGGTCAAGCTCTGAGCTCAGCATCCTTTGTCGAACCGCGTCCCCGGACTCTTGTAAGGTGTGTACTGAAGTGAAGAATTGCTCTGAGACAAATGCCGACTTCATAAGGTTATTCCAAATTGCTTCCTGACGTGCCGGAAAGTCTTCCCATTCGCAGATTCTCTCGGGCCGAAGTTTGTTATTCGCATTTGCAGGGTCGCCCCGTGTTGACAAGGTCGCATCGGTTTGGATGGTGAGACCTGAGTGAAGGTAATTGTGGCAAGCGTCGAGGAACTCGGGGAGCGTGGTCTTGCGGATTCTCTCTTCTACCTGTTCGCGTTTTCGTTGCTCTTCCTTCTGGGCCTCCTCTGCTGCTTCGCGCCTGCGTTGTTCTTCGAGAAACAGCTTCTTGTAATCGGGCGGCTGTTCAGCCATGGCGATAATAGTAGGATATCTAGGTTGGTTCGTTGACAGTAGCTGCCCAGGAGCGCTTCGGAGCGATAGCAGATAATGAACCAAAGGATAAACGCTAGATGCTGCTCATGATAGATGGATGCGAAGGTTGAGGGAACCAGATGCATCTTATTTGTTTTGGTTCTATTTGGCTTGGCAGCGCTTGGACCCTCGGTCCAGGCGTCGCGCAGTTGCCGTAGCGAGGTCTCCGACGTCATCACGGGCGATCATGCACCTAGTCCCTGCAGTGGCATGTCTGTTCTCTTGTAAATGGCAGCCTTGTGAGCTTCAAACCTTCAGCGAATCGTACTCAGCACACACCAACCATTAGAGTTCCATTGGGTCATATGGTATAGCAAATGCAAAGAATGCCACCAGAACAAGTTGTTATTCCTATACACACCAAATAAAAGCAGATACTTTGCTAAAGGAGCGTGCACACAGTTTCATCATCTGCAATTTACCAAGACCACAAATATCCTCTAAACTAACGACAGTTTAAGTAGATTACTTATCGTTCACAGGACCATTGCACTCGTGCCAAAACTCTTGGTCTGCTTCAGTCGTTCGTCTCAACGAAGCACGCCTTGCCAACCCACGCCTTCGGGGGTTGCGACGTGGTACCGGAGTTAAGTCAGCTTGATTGCTTGCTGCAATTTCCTCGCTAGCCTCATGTTCGGAAGAATCACCAAAAAAGTGTGCGTACGCAGCGAGCCGTTCTTCGGTCCGTGAACCTAGCCGCAAGTCGGTCAAGTAGACCGAAGGTAGGTCGTCTTCTCTAACCGGGGACGTAGGAGTTGGGAGTGGAGTGTTCTGGTGGCGTACAGGATCGGAAGTCCACTCGCTCTGCCATTGATGCTGTGTTGCGGGATCTTCTTGTGGCAAGTAACCTCTTAAGCGGGTTGGTTGGTTGTCTTCTCTCGACGTGCTGTTTCCATTGGTAATCGTATAGCTGGTGGTATGGCCGTCGCGTTGAACGATCCGGAGTGAGCCCATACTTGCTGCAAGCTCATTACTGGGAATTGAGTCCACCGACAAGATATCCATATTTGTCTGATCCGTCATATAATCTGCCATGGATGCCGTCGGAATGTTTTGCAAAGCTTCGCCAGTAGATGCCGGAAGGCCCAACTCTTGTCTCTCAATATCTGTCATTCGGTTGTTAGGGAGCTCGCTAACGTAAATGGTCTTTGGGTCCCATATGGCGGGTTCGCTTGGAGAGTAGACCGTCTTTCGTCACTGCCATAAGGATCGGCGCTGAAAGTAGAGACGTTTGAAGCGCTCTCTCCAGCCGGGTGAGTCTCGCCCCCTCCATTTGGCTGCGCCCCTCTGACGATGGCATTATGGAGCTCAACGATCTCCCGATTGGCTGAGAACTCCATGAATTCTCTTATTGATGCTGAGGGGGGGTCTGAAGTGTCCGCAATGCCGTTCTGGGGTGAATGGCCATTTTGAGTTTGGCTAGACCCGTTGTTGATCCCCTGCTGCGGTGGGAGTTGAGAAGTATTCGACGTGCCGTAGGTGCCTGACTGGCTGCGGGAATTCGATTGGCCGACTGATATGGTGTAAGGAAAAGACGTCAACGATGTAACCCTATGGAGAGGGAGAAGGACAAGTTCAATGTAATAAAAAGCGGGCCAGAAGGTGGACCCGAACGACAAAGGCCAAATGATCTGAGCTGCCTTGGTATAGGAAACGGTGGTTGCTGTTGAACAGATCTTGATGAACGCATTTTCATCGTGGACTTTATACATATCTCCCTCATCCACGTGCCATGCCTTCCTCTCCCTCCATCTTTCCCTGTCAAGCACGGCTGCAGAAGCAAGATAGATGTCGCACGTGTCTCACGCCATGTCATACCCATGTACTGCACTATTCACTCATTAGGACTAGCTTCTTCCTCGTACAGTATACAGTCAGCCTAGAGCTCTCTCTCGCTCCTTAGACCTTACAATACACTGGTACGATTCATCTTGTTTAGAATTCAATACCTTGTCAATTCGCCTACCCTATGACCCCTTCTCAGCTCATGCGAGATTTAGGCGAACATTGTTGGCAATCTATTAACATTTCTTAAACCATGGATCATTTACCTGTTCACAGATAGGGATGTGAGATTTTCCTAGTCTCTGTTCCAGGTTACGTACCCATAGTATGGGTTAGCCTATAGACGAAGCTGACAGCAACTTTATAACTTTGTTGCGCGATGCAAGACTAAGTTAGAACAGCTTAGATACCTAGCTTTAGGTATCAACAAATCTCCCTTAGATTTTTGCTACAAGCATTTGCTAACTACTAGATCCTATAGCTATTGTGTTTTATATAATTTAAGTTAGTACAAGTCTACAAGAACAGAGATTCCTTCAGGCAATCTTAGAGGATACCTTACTTAGAGACTATGTTAAGGTAGTTATAGAAGGTAAGTTAAGACTTTGCTTTTTTGTCCCTGCTTTTTAGTTGCTAATTAGGCTTTTCTTAATAGAGGAGAACCTTAAAACACGCTTTGTAGATAGTTAGAGCCTAAACTTAGATAAAGACTTTATTATAAGTGCAGACTGCGTAACAGATTCCTTTTATACATTTTCTAACTATAATAGTTGCTTTATAAATTTTTTTAGAGCTCTTAATCTAAAAACAACCCTTTAATTAGATAGAAGGCTAGCATTTGCGTAAGGGAAACTGTTAAACATGAAACTAGTTCACGTGACCTAGCGTAGGATGAATGTAGGTCCTTTACCTCTTACTATTTCCTGCTTAAGACTAGAGCTTTTTTAGCTACTATATATTTACCTCTAAGATCTCTTAAGCTCTGGAGACCTTACACCTCGCCTTAAATCTACCTAGGCCGTCTCTCATGACCTAAATGACTGCTTCATGCTCTCCACCATCTGTTAGCTCTAACCCTACAATAGAAACAACAACACAAGTTTGCAAAGGATAAACGCTGTTTACCCCCACACTGTCTCTACTTTAGACAAGACAATTGCCTAAAAGGCAACATTTTACACATGGTAACAATAAGTAGCAAGTGACTAGCAGAATTCTTGTACATACTCCCTTCCTTCCGCTCCTGTCTTATTGCTTTTCTAACCCCCTAGTTCTAACTGCTGCCTAAATAAAGCCTGCAAGTGTTTAAAATCTTTATCTAGGAAAGGTAAATGTAACGTTGGTATTAGGGATATTTTTAGGACATGCTCTAAGAGGTTAACTAGTAAAGATGCAAGCTGGTATCTATTATAAGATGTGTTTGTCTGCAGCTAGTGACGCCTTACTTTTTCTACATAAAGACTGCATAAGCGATAGACCCTAGAAGCTAAGCTTAGTCTTGCATAGCACGTTAAACAAAGTTTTCTAATTAATGAGGCTAACAATACCTGAACTGTTGGAGAAATCGCATAGTTATATGTCGTCTTCCCTGTTGCATCCCTGCGTCTAGTGTCTACTCTCCGGCTCGGCAGATATTTCACCACTTTATTATGCCTACTATAAGCCGCCCTAAACAATCGCGTCTGCAAACAGTTGTTAAGAACGTTCTTGTCTGTATCATGCGCAATTAATAATTTTAAACATCTTAACTGGCCTTTTTCTGCAGCCCAACTGATTGGTGTTCGCCTATTCTAGTCCTTCACCTCTAAATTAACAAACCTATTAGCATCTAAAATTTTCTTTATTATTTTAACACTCCCTCTCTCTGCAACCTAGTGTAGTTGCGTCTTTAAATCCTTGTCTTTTACATCTAGGCTCACTCCGTTGCGCCGTAGCACACCATACGTCCGATTGAAATCCCGCAAACATGCCTAAAACACTAGAGTCCACGAATAATTATCTATCGCGTTAACAGTACTGTTGACCACAATTAGCTGTGGAATTATCGGTTCGATATTGTAACAGGTACAAAGGCTCATCTAGGTTTGCTTGCTGTAGTCTTTGCGGTCCTTCTTAGCGTTGGCGGCGAGGAGTTGGCGGATTGTGTTTGCTTGGCCGAACTTAGCGGCGATGTGGAGAGGTGTGTGGCCTTCGGATGTCTGTGCTTTGAGCTACTGAGCAATAAGGGACACAGTTAATTTAGAAGGATTTCGGTCTCCTCTCGTGGCAGCATAGTGGAGCGGGGTAAAGTCGGCCTGTATTTATGTTATTACTGCCATTCATAGCGGATAACAATTAAGTGAAATCTATTTCTGGACTTGACCTTGCGTTACGCCGGGGGGAATAACGTGAGCAATGAAGAGCTAGCGCGAGCTAGCATGATTCGTGCCTAAGCTCGCCTTGAGCCAACATAAGCCAACAAGATTGTGCCTGATTTCCTCCCCGAGCAGCATGAGGAGGGTCCAAAATTGGGCCCCAATCAGTTCGTAGGGATGTGAAGTGTCAAGATGAACTCCAACCTGGATGGGACACAATGGGTGTGAGAACGAGTCCTGCAGATATTTGTTCAAATACCTCGTCAAGCCGTCGTGCTTTCACTTGGATTTCTGTCATGATAAACGGCTTGCTTAATTCTAAGTATCTAGAGGTATGGCTGATATTGATACTGAGCGTAGCGCTGCTGCCTAAGCATAGCAGCGTCATCGCCACTTCGCAGTCGTAATTGCTACCACGATGCTATAGGCGACCTAAACTAGTGCGACAGCAAGGCCTGCACTCGATTCCCATGACAATATTGATAGTAGATGTAAGGGGGTTTGGAGGCACTAATTCAAGATTGTATATACTTCAAGACATTTGGATGAAGATTAAATAATAGGCAAGAAGTTATCAAATAAAGAGGCATGGTTTGTTTCAAATGGTATTCAATTCTATTAAAATCCTAAGGCTTTAAAACTGCCGGGCCTACAATTACGTGTGCTGGTTCTAGTCTGGTCGATCCTCTGAGCGGGAGGTTGCTGGCGCTGGGCGGGGGGTTGCTGGCGCTAGGCAGGGGATTCTGCTGGCGGCAGGGCGGCGGGGTGGACTTGGTAGCGAGGCGGGTGGCGGTGGAGGGGGACTTGGGGGTGGCGGAGGGGGACCTAGTGGCGGCGGAGAGGGCAGGTTTGCTGCTGCTGCTGCTACCGCTATCTTGTCCAGAGCTTCAACCATGCTGCTAAAGAATTGTCGAACTTCAGCGTCGACAAGAGGGGCGGCCACAGGCGGGGCGGCGGCACCGAGAGCGGCGGCAGTAGCAGCATCACGCCGGGCAGCAGCGGCGTCACGGCGCTATATCAGTTCGTTAGAGGAGGCTTAGAATTAGTGATATGAAAACTTACCTCGATCCAGCTGAGGGCGAGGGCGAAGCACGCGACTAGAAACGCAAGGACCACGCCTACATTTTGAAAAGTAAAATATACCTGCTCGTCGGAGGGCGCCATGGTGCTGGTGGTGCTGGTGGTGCTGGTGGTGCTGCCGGTACTGGTGCTACTGGTTGTTGGAGGTCGGAGGACAAGATAAGGAAGGTTGTCTAAATGAACTTAGTTCTGTTTGCAACTTAATTCGCAAGTGCGGCCAATGTAGCCTCCTTGTCGCTTTCTTACTAAATGGTCGCTCTTTCCTACGAGTTTGTGAATGCTCTACATCTCGCTTGGACACATTCCCATCCGCACTCCTTGAAACGAGGGCCGCACTCGTGCACCTTTTCTCTTTCACAGAGCTTCCACTGAGTATTGACTTGGCTGGTCTGTAAATTCGGCTCCCAGGTCCTGACCCATGTATAGGACTTAGGAATGTTGACCGAATCGCCTTCTACTTTAGTCTCAGCGGCTGCCTGTTCCATTTGTGCTAGCCAGGCTGTATCAGTAGGATCACCTGGAAAGTCGCGACTGACCGCCAACGTGATACCATGGTAAGTAGATCGTATCCGATGCAGGCAGTAACGAGTGATACAATTTGGATGAGGGCATTGGGACCAGGTTACACACTTTCCAAGGCGAAGAAGGTTATGAATATTATAGATCTGATAGCATTCTGGGGCTTGGTGTTTCCGCTCCAGATCTCGAATTTGTGAGAAAGTGTAGTCTGGACACTCAGCCGTCACTAGGCTTCCTCCAAAAAGTTCTGGGCTAGCGGTGCTCAAGTGCGGACAGATGTATGCATACTTTTTACGAAGAGCAGTAGAGAGCTGATCATGTGTCGTTTCTTTATCGTTTCCTATTGTCAAAATTGGGATAGTTTCATCAATGGTGATGGTGTGTCCTCCGTGGAATCCGATATGCGGTCCCGATTGTCGCCCTCCTAAGCCGGCCATAAACTTGTTATGAACGTCATTTTCATGTTCCAATTGACAGATATAATCCGTGTTTTTCATGACGCGAAGCGCTCGTAAGAGGCATTGACCAGAGAATGAAAGGTGGCGGCAGAGTCGAAACGGCGCTGCAAGACCCTTGCATATTCGAATTTTCGGTGACAAGCTCAATTCCTCGCTGGAGAAGTATTTCATTTGGTGTGTTGTGCGGCATCCAGAGCAACCGGAGCGGTGGAGGCTAGAGTTCGGCGGCGCCAGGTCACACTCCCGCTCATAATCGTCTTGCAGTCGCACTTGTACATCCTGCCTGAGGAGGAAGACGAACTGGAATATTTGCTTCATCGTTAAAAAGCCGCTCCTGAGTTCGGGTGCAATTCGATGCGGAGCAAGGCCGGCTCGGAATTTCCTGCAAACCCGTTGCATGACGAGCCGAGCAACGGGTGATAAGTAGCTAGCAATTTCTAATATCAACTCCATAGGAAGTCGGTGGAAAAGATTGCGCGTGCAGTTGTGCGCATACGCAGATTCGGAGGCCAAAAGTAGTTGCTCAGGCACGGGGTCGCCATTTGCGACGTACAAGCCGCGCTTTACCATTAAACCGTGTATAGTAAACCATTTGAGGATAGCTTTAGCCCTTCTCCAGTAAGAAGTAGTTTGTGTCGTTTGTGTCGTTGACGAGTTCTGTCCAGTTATGGGGAATCCCTGAAGGTTTCGCGCACTCAAGGTCCAATGTGATTCGGAGAGGAGAAATAACTCAGCGTGATACCATGCTTCGTCGGTGCGAACGCGCCGCTTCAATTGCCCGGTAAACATAGGTTTTGTGTCTTGTTGGAGGGACATAGTGGAGCTTGAAGATTCCTCAGGGCAGTAGGTAGAGGTGGCAGAATTATTGTTGGATTGGTTAACGAGCAAGTATTAATCTTCCTTTTCGGAAGCTTGGATGACATACCCATTTTTCTCGCTTGACGCACGGGCTCACCTGGCGCACACTTTGCTCAGGAACACTAAAATTGTCACATAATACTAACTCCACTAATATAGACCTGATTTTGGAAGCGCTTGCAGCGTTAGAATCCCTAGAGTTTAGAGAAAAAGTTAATATCACTTAAGTTGCAAAAAAATATAGTGTTAAATAATTAACACTGTCACAAAGGTAGCGCAGGGTCTAGGGCTTCTGTGCAGAGCAATATAAGAATTAACAACTTTTAAACAACTATTAGGAAAAGGAGCTCTTAGAATACATTAAGAGACTGTGTAAGTAAGGGCTACCCCCTATAAGAAACATGCTACGCAACTTTACTACTAAAATAAGCAGCAAACAGGTAGGGAGCTTGTAGCTAGACTAGTTCCTTAAGTGTTACTAAGTTAACCTAGTATTAAAGTAGACTACTAGCATTAATAAGAAGAGGAAGAGAGGTAATTCTGCCTTTAAATACGCACTATATTTTAATCTTCTAAAGCGTAAGATTAAACAATACAATATCTAGCTAAAAGACATGTATAATATAAATAAAAAGAGCTTCTTAATTAGGGTGCTTTTAAAGATAAAGCAGATCTTCTCCTAGCAGAAGTATAAAGAGGGTGGGATTAAGCAGATAGTTTAGGACAGCAACTGCAAGTAGATAACAACAATTGCTTATATATGCGCTAACAGATCCTCTTTCTCTCTAGGCCTTATCTACTAGGCAGTTACAGGTAACATTTAAGACTTATAGCTTTAGGACTTTAATCCTAAGATATATAAAGCTTTCTTTGCTTTATCTTTAAGTAGATAGACTAACAATAACCTTAGGCTTTAATAGCTTAAAATAATTTTTAATAGAGAAACTAAACTAAAGGCGCAGCAGAGATACTAACTTCTTATCCTTAATAAACATAGATCCTATATAAACATAAAGTTTATTAAGTACTGTAATAATAATAAGATCCTCCTAGCTATCTATCCCTTTTATAGTACTTATACACTTTAGCTGCTTAACATCTGCTTGTTTAAGCCTCTTTTATAAGCTTATACCTACAAGATAGCACAGTTTATAGAAGAATCTTAAGCTTTCTCTGCTATTACTAAAAGGAATTTCTTCTGCATGTTCTAGGCAGCATAGGAGAGAGCTTTTACTGCTAAGAACGTCCTCTTAGGGTTTAAAACCTGCAGTTTTTATCCCTTTAAGCCTAACATTATTCTAGACTAATTTAATAACCCTAAGGCTAAGAGACCTTCCTTTAGTAAAAGCTTAAGGTTAGTGCTTACAGCTAAAGATTAGAGGAAGATTACTAAGCTTTTAAGATTAGTTGTTAACAACATATACAACTCTAAGGCTTAGCAGCTCTTATAAACAATCTACTTACTGTCTATGCAGAACATCTTCTTAAAACTAGAGGTTCGCAGCCTTAAAAAAGCACTAGTTAATAAGAAGAAGTGTTAGCAAAAAAGTAAAGCTTTCTAGCTTAAACTTTCTTCTAATCTAGATAGTAGAGCAATTTTTTAGAGCCTAAATAAGGTCTAGCAAGCTTGTAAGCAAGAAACAAAGAAAGCAGAAGCAGCAGAGGCAGAGAGACTTAAAAAAAAAAAAGATGCTAAGCGCAAAGCTGCAGAGAAAGCAGAGAAGGAGCAGGTTATAGAGGAGAGACAGCGCATGAAGGCTACTGCAAAGGAAATCCGACTCCAAGAGCAGGCTCAGAAGCAGCGGGAGAAGGAGGACAACAAGCAAGCTAGATTAGCAGCTGCGCAGCTCTAAAAGGACATCTAATATGCTAAACAGGCTAAAAAAAGGAGCAAACAACATTCTCTTAGTCCTCAGGATGATGGTGGTAATGAGGAATCAGTTGTAGAGGTTATCGCTGCCCCCCAGCTGACGAATCGCCGAGGGCGACAGATCAGCCTTCCTACTAGGTATCGCGACTAGATAATGACGTAGTTTTATTCGCCGTACCCTATTGCCTGTTACTCTACAAAATCTTGCGATAATTCGAATTATAGTGAGCTCTAGAGCTTCAAATCTATGATGATGATGATGATGTCTTTATTTCGCCCGGCTCTAGCCTAGAGGGCACTAGTATGTTATTACCTAAGCGCTTCCTTGGTGATGGCTTAACTCCTCGTAGCCCTTACATGCCTCCTGCTCCGCTATCCGGCGTAGTTGTTACATATCCCCCTGATTGTAATTTGTAGCAAGCGTTCTTAAAGTCTCTTCTTTAAGTGTTCAAAGTCCTTTTGTCGGCGAGTGAAGCAGAGCCTGCTGTTATATGGGGTTAGTATTGAGCGTCTCTTTTCCACTATTGTCTCTGTGGTTCTGGGTTCCTATCTTCTTTCTTGCTCTAGGCGGCCTGTTGCTATTGCGTACCTAACTGTCATCTTTACTGTGTCGATGTCCGGCGACCATTCTGCCGGGTCTGCTGGTGCCTTTCCCCCTAGAAAGAAGGGGAGGTTTCCTCTTCTAGTCTCTGTTTGCTGAAGCATTTGTATTCGGAGTGTGTCCCATCTTCGGCATCGGAAGAGGAAGTGCTGAATAGTTTCTTCTGCCTGACCACATATGCACATGTTCGAGTCTGCAGCTCCTATTCGGTTCAGGTATGTGTTTAGCCGTGTCATCCCAGTTCGTAATTGTGCTAGTATCTTTGCTTCTCGCCGGGTCAGGGCGTTGTAGAGCTTCAAATCTATGTGAGGATATTGGCTGAAATCCGTGCGCCAGGTGAGGCCGTGCGTCAAGCGAGAAAAACGGGTAATCAGACGTCTCGCTTAGCGCACAGGCATCTAGTAGACGGCTACTAATTGCCTCTCTCCCTTCTTTCCTCTCTACTCTACTATACATCTTTCTAGTAAACATCAGATATATGGCCACGGATCGCTGGGCTTCTGTAACCCTAACTTCCTTATTCCGTTTAGGGCGCCGCCTAAGCGAGCAGAGAACGACTAGAACCTCTATTATTGTCAGATTGAAGCACTGTTTCTGGGCTTCCTGAGATGAATGATGGGTTTGGATGTGATGTATGGGATGATTAATTGATTGTATTGATTGTGTTGATTTTTCGATCCTTTTTCTGCTCTACTCGTGTTGCTCGGCTTTTGTTTTTCCGATCCGAGTCCCTCGCGCACTAGCCCTATGCGCGACCAGCTTGCAACATGCTGCAATTTGCTGCAATTTGCTGCAACATGCTGCAAAATGCTGCAAAATGCTGCAAAATGCTGCAAAATGCTGCAATTTGCAGCAACATACTGTTCGAGCTTATTGCTCGTACTATGTAGCAGCTTTCGTCAAACGCTCCTCCTGTCTTGACAGTAGGTGCGCATATCTGACAATTATTTACTGTAAATCTTGCCAAGCCTTTTCTCTTATTAGTTTAAAAAGAAGCTGGATTAATGTCTAGTTAGCTTATAAAACTTTCTACTACTTTTGTAAATCTTCTAGATTTTTAAGGCAAATAAATATATTTTCTATGTTTATTATTATATTCTAGATGTTTTAATGCAATATTATAATGCTGTGTTCTGTTATTAGTAGCCTAAAGTTTGCTCTACCTAGCCGAGAGGATCCCACAACACAGGCCTGTGTTGTGCCGGATTCAGTTAGCAGGCCCTAACACTAAGCAAAATTAGATACTAAACTAACCGCAAGTTGCTATACGCGTTACATTTTAAGCAATTGCCTGCACTCTAAAGTTTTGTATAAAAAAGTAGTAGCTTAGACTCTAAAACTAAAGATTCTTACCTTGCATCTTAAAAAACCTACTAGCGTAGGTAGTTTTTAGTTAAGTTAGAGTTTTGTTAGAGTAAAAAGAAGTTTACAGTTTGCGACTAAGCAATCGCGGGCGCGGGCGCAGGGCGGGGGCAGCGAGAGGAACACGCACAGTGGGAGCTTGCGCAGCCTACAACACTAGCAACCACTATAATTATTAACACAGCAGGTTAGTGTCTATTTTCTAGCAGTGCTTAGCGCATAAAAATGCTTTTACCTATTAACTTGCGTAGTTAATTTTAATTTTCCTTTTTGTAGAGCACGCGCACACAGGCTCTACAGGTTTGTCGCACTAGCAGCCGCGCCTGCTGACTACAACAACTACTGCAACAACAACAACTACTATTACTACTAACATAACAGGTTTCTTAACTTTCTAGCTATGCTTTTAGGCATTAATACCTCTAGCCTAGTGACTGCGCAGTTTAATTTTTCCTTTTATAAGAACGCGCGCACAGTCTCTGCAGCTCGCACAGCAGCTACAAATCCTAGTAGTAATCTACATAGATTTAAGGTCTCTATATAATTGCCTAGTTAAGCTAGGCACTACTAGTAAAAAGTAACTTATAATTAACATTATGTTACTTTGCAAATTGTATAAGAAGAGAGAAATTACTAAGATAAGGTAAATTAATAGTAAAGATAACTTAGTAGATGCATGTATAAAAAAAACACTAAATTAGGCTCTTTAATTATTAGTCCTAACTAACTGCCTCTCTGTCTAGATAGAAGCATCTGTGGACCGGCTAGATCCTGTGCGCAAAGATGCCCTAGACTAACTAGACTAACAACGCCTTTATATAAAGCCTATCTCTTTTATTTATTTTTATTATACACACTTATTTTTCTTATTATAAGATTAGAAGAGAAGGATATGTAAGAAAGACAGTCTATTTGTCTAGTATATAAGAAAAGAAAAAGCCACTACCTCTTACATATAGTAGTCACAATGCAGACCACAGCTCTGCTATATGCATAAGGTGTAGGCATTAGCTTAGAAGTTAGCTAGCATATAACACTTAATAAAAGAAGAGGCACTAGTAGTGCTGTTGCAATAATAAGCACATAAAGTTGCTAGAACCTAACTACAACTCTAGACTAAGACTGCACAGAAGTACCCCTTACAACGCACAACCTTTGCTGCTTACAGCTGCAGATTAGTGCTAGCAGGCAAGACAATGTTAATATTATAGAACAATAAAGCTGCTACATGCTGCTCCTTAGCTTATTTATAATTAGCATTTTATATAAAGAGGAAGCAGAAGAGCTAAAGGATTTATATATTTATGCTAAGACGCTAAATAAACTGCTAATTAGTAGTAAAACTAGTTAGAAGAGTAACACAGATGCGCTCTAGGCCGCTAGACTGCACAAGGACGTTAAAGACGCCCGCACTAACAGCGCTGGTAGTAGAGTAGGAAGGCTGGAGAGACATCTCTCTGTATCTGTGTGTGTGTGTGTGTGTGTGTGTGTGTGTGTGTGTGTGTGTGTGTAGGCAGAAGTATCTATCACTGTTAGTACTGTACAAAAAGAGAAAAGAGCTAGGGAATTATACAGTAAGGCTTAAAAAGTAAAGGATAAAAAAGAGAAGGTAAAGAAGAAGAGAAGACCTTATTATATACACCTCCCTACGCACCTGCCTACGCAAAGATCCCACACTATTATAGCACAAAACCCTACATAAAACAGCTTATACACTGCTAAATTACTTACAAGGCAAGCGCATAAAGGCTAGATAATAATAGCCTAAAACACTTTACACTATTTATAGAGCTATTTATATAGTGTAACTAGCCTATTTTAACATACAGCATTACTAAGGTAAGTCTTAATAAATAAAGTAGAGTAAAGGCAAAACGTAATTAGATAGACCTACATAGATAGAAGAGAGGTAACATGTACAAAAGGCAACTTTTTAGATAAAAAGAAAAGTTGCTAGTGTCTATACGCAGTAGTAGTGTTATAGTTTAGATATAAGTAATTACACATAAGCAGGACTATGTATCTATGTTACATAATGCTTGTGTGTAAACCTTTATGTGTAAACATCTAAATATTCTCTTTTTTCTCTATACAGAGGAAAGATAAGAGTAATAGAACTAGAAACATGTTGCCCTTACCTTACCTACCTTGTACGCTGTGCACACTGTACACTACTCTTACTCTTGCTACTTAAGTGCTTATACTATAAGCAGCTAGCTGTTAGAGCCTATTTAACACTAAATATACTTTATAAAGACTTCTAAAATCAGCTTTTAAAACCTAAGCTTTTAAAACCCCCTAGAATTACTATTAATAAAGTAGAGAAGTAAGAAGTAGAAAAAATACTTACTAGTTAGCTTTACTAAAAAATACTTAAGTACTAGGTAAAATAAGTAAACTATAACTCTAATTTAGTCTAGTATAAAGCTTTAAATTTTATTAGTTTTTTATAAACTAAAAGCTTTTTATAATAAGCATTTAAATTAGCTAGAACTTTTAAAAGCTTTATGTAAGTAGATTAAAGCTTTTAAAGCTAGTATAAAAGGCATAAATTACTAAGTAGATAATAAAGTATAACAGTAAAAAGTTAATTTATAGTTATATATAATAGTATTATAACTTTATAGATATTACACTAGAGAGGTTTAATAGTAAGCTGTTAGACACCTTTAGACTTTTCTTTTTTTTTTCTACTTTTCTTTCTCTTTTTTCTTCTCTTCTTCTTTCTTTTTAGACTTCTGCTAAACCCCCTCTACTTTATCTTTAGCTGCCTAAGAGTGCTGTAATATCTGCTTAAAAGTTAAACACTAAAGCTTTTAAAGCTAAAACTTAATAAAGCGGCTTAGTATTTTACTAGAATAAGGCTACCTAGACACTAGCTATAGAAAGACTAGCTTTCTAACTTTTTATAACTTATGCTACTTACACTAGGTTTTAAGCAAACTCTAAAATAGCTTTAAAGGCCCTCTTTTTATCTTCTTTACTTCCTATGTTTTAGGCTGCTACTTATAGCTTAAAAT